TTAATTTTAATAGGAAGATCCTCCGTATCGCAGTTTTTTATTTTTTTCTCAGTCCAATGGAATAAAATTCATACCTCATCATTAATTGATTGCATAGAAAAATGTTATGGAAGAATTTTGTTGGAAATTTAATGCTCTACAAAAAAGGTATCTTATATTTTTTCCGAAAACCTTACCATTTGAATGATATTGAAGATTTAAATTTGATGATTTTAAGACAAATTTCATTTTTGTTTATGAATTTTATAACTCGACAATAAATGACTATTAAAAAATGCGCAATACAAATGTTTGTAGGAAATTAACTGCTCTATAAAAATGGTGTTTTATGTTTTGGCGATTAAATTAAGCGTTCAAAAGATATTCAACATCAAACTTTCATGTGTACTGATTTTTGTTTCTGAATATCTTAATTATCGCGGAATCTATATATATATATCCAAGGTCTTATGCACCTTTATGTATTAATAAACATACTATAAAATAAAAAATCTAAGTAAAAAAATCCAAAAGTGGGAAAAGAAGAATACGAATACGAAGAGGAAGAGGAAGAGGAAGGAGACAGAGAGAAAGGAAAGATAAGGAGAACTAAGAAACGATTGGATGGCATAAGATTGGTGAAATCGGAACCTCCACAATGACTTACTTACCGGTAAAACATTCAGTACCTTATTTTTACTCGGTGACTTCTCATCGTGAGTGAATCTTCTTCGAACAAAACTTCTAACCAACATTTTTTTCTTTTTTTTTTTTTCTTGGTTTCTTTTTTTCATATCTTGCAAATTTTATATTACATATGAGAAAAAAAAAAGAAGAAGAAGAAAAAGACCGTAATATATATTCGATTAATTGATTGATTTATTTATTTTTTCCTAAATTTAATACCTACGATAAATTGTATTTAACTAACATAAAGATCGATCTATCGATTATTATTATTATAATACCAACCCATTAAAAATGACCGATTACAAGGAAATTATTGAAGAATTTCGAGGTAAATTTTGTTTTTCTCTAACTCCTTTGATTTACTTATATATTTTATTAATTATAACTATTATTTATAATTTTGTATATTTGATTGTGTAAGAGGACAAAAATGATCGTCTTATTAATTCATACATTTGATTCATTTGATTTAATATATACATGCATAAAAAAAGGGTTAATAAGAATGCACTTTCTTATTTAATATATTGTACGTGCAATTCAATAAAATAATTTTCATTGCTAATGCGACTATCAACATGATGAATTATTTAATTCATGTTAATATTAACATTAACCTTTCGATGATTTTTTAATAATAAATAAAATTAACAATTCCAACGAGATATCTTTTTTCATTATTTTAGATCCCACGATCGATTCGTGGCCATTAATGAGTTCACCAGGACCTATACTTTCCATAGTGTCGATATATTTACTTTTCGTCATTAAAATTGGCCCGAAATTAATGGAAAATCGTCCTGCCTTTGAATTAAAAAACTTTTTAATCATTTATAATGCTTCATTAATCATATTTAATATATGGTTAGCGTCTTTGGTAAGAACATTATTCTAATAGAAATCGTATGATGAATTAATACATCACGATGTAATATAATGATTGTTTAAAAAAAAAAAATATATATATATATATATATATATATATACACGTGTGTGTGTGTGTGTGTTTATATGTGTGTGATGATCATTTCCAGGTTACAAGTATTGATCTATCAGCTTTAATTCATTCGAAAGGATGCAGATTGCAAAATCATCAATTGTCTAAGAACGGATCTTTAGAAACAAAGGTTAGTCAATTCTTTTCTTTTATTTTCTTCTTCTTCTTAGGACTTGATCCTGTTATTCCTCACTAAACTATTTTATTAGTTCTGATGGCGACTATTTTTCGAACCTACCAACCCTCCCCTTTATCTGGGGCTTGGGACATTTAAACATTCTGTAATTAATTTATTTATTATAATTAAAATTGTTTTTATTTATCATTACAGTTGTCAAAAGCTGCCTGGTGGTATTTCTTCTCTAAGATTATCGAACTCTTAGATACGGTAAGATGCTATAAAACGAAAACAAATATAGAAATGATGACAATTATTATGACGAAATACCTGCGGGCTATTTTATTCATACGTTTTTCTAAATTAAAACTGTTGCACAATTATATCGGAATTTATTATCAAGAAATATGTTGAAATGTCTTTAATTAATAATCATTTGAAGTATTTTTAAACAGGATAGGAAACTTATTAATTCTATCACATTAACATATTTATCATTTCTATGCGATTATTATCGAATATTATCTTTGCATTTATTTTTAATATTCTTATTTATAGTTTATCGATTTCTTAGTATTATTAAAGGGGTATTCTGGTCTAGAGGCATGAATTTTAGGTACTTTTTCAAGTGCAATAACAAAAATATACATTACATACATTTTTACTATATACATTTTTTTTTACTACTTTTTTTACTTTTCCGAATTTTATTAAAATAGTAAAAATTGGAAATTGTTGTAAGAGTTTAGTTAGTACGATAGAGAAATACATAAAGAAAACTCTCACCAAATTTCAAGTAAATCGGTTTACTAGAATTTGAGATATCATGACAACCGTGAGAGAAAAAAACAATTTCGAGAAAAACGCATTCAAAGTTTCGCGTAATAAGGCTAGGATATAGGATGCTGCGTCACTAAAACAGTTATATCTCCGAAAATAATTTGAATTTTGAAAAATCCTCTTAAGGACATATTCTTAAAGGTTAAGCTTTGAAAATATGAAAAAAAAAAAAATCGATTTTTTCCAATTTCTAAACCAGAATACTCCCTTAACCTGTTCATTTGAGCAGGGTGATAGAGATAACGATGTATTCAGACTCTTTGAATAAATTAATTGAAAATAAAAATTTAATAAGCTCGATGCATCGATTGTTTTATGTTTTTTTTTCTTTTTTTAAATTTAAAAGTTTTATTGCACGAATCGTTTATATTTTAGATTAATCAGAGCTTCCAACTACTCTCTTCCCCTGTTTAAAAGTTCCACGAAATTTCGAAATATTTAGATTATTTTTCATTTCTCATTTTTCTTTTTATCTTTTTCCAGGTATTATTTATTTTGCGAAAAAAACAGAACCAATTGACTTTCCTACACATTTATCATCATAGCATCACAGCAATTTTCTCGTGGTGTTATCTCAAACTAATTCCAGGTGAACAAGGTATTTTCATAGGAATAATCAATGCTGCAGTTCATATCATAATGTATACGTATTATTTAATATCTGCATTGGGCCCAAAATATAAAAAATATCTCTGGTGGAAGAAATATATGACCTTGGTACAATTGGTAAGCCACATATAATAAATAAAAATGATATAGATATAAATAATTATCGTGTCGATTTATAATAAAGAAAATTTATTTAATTATCCAATATCAATTTACAGACTCAATTTGGAATAATAATAACTTATCTTCTATTCACATTGGTGATGGATTGTGGAGTCCCAAAGGTCTTAACATATTTCTTCATAATTAACACAGTGATATTTATCTATTTATTCAGTAATTTTTACAAGAAAACCTATATTAAACATAAAAAAGTGTAAATTAATTTCTCAACAAAATTGAAATAGGCTAATATACTAATAAATATTGCAAATTAATCAACAATCGATTGAATTAATTAAAGGTTAAAAAAAAAAAACAAGTCGACCTAACGCAATACAATAGCAAAACTACAAAATTATTTATAATTCATGTTGTTGAAATAGTCAATTTATTTAAGAACTATTATTGTCAGATAAGTACATCAATGTTTCTTCTTATAATAGTACGTTTTAAACAGCTATTTCTAAGATAAGATAAATACCTTTTTCATATAGCAAACGAAAATGAATTTTTAAAAAAGGCAAAAACGGTCTTCTTATAAATATACATAGATATTTTAGGATAAGCTATAATAATAAAGAAACGAGAAAGTGTATGTATGTGTGTACTCAGGCCAAAAATGTATGTGATGAATAAAGAAGAATTCATTATAAAAAGACGTTCTTAACACGTATTAATGATGACGAATCGTTTTAAGTAAGTGTGCTAACAAAAACTACCAAATATAATTTAATTGTCTAACGTACCGAATAATTATTTTTTATTTAATTTTTTTATTTATAGATTTATTTATTGATACTTTTAAAACAGGATATCGGAATAATTTATTGTTAATATTATTTTTAATAATGAAAAGATTAAAGGTTTATGTTAATTAAAATTTAACGTGCTCTTACATTCATGTTCTAGGATCGTTAAATTTAATACTGTACTTCTACAAAGAAAGAAGAGCACATGTATGTAACATATATTATTACAATAATGTATATTAAATAGTATTGCAGAAAAAATTCAAATACCTGAATAAGTAATGAGAAATAAATGAATAATTTGTATAGTTAACGTTAGCACTTTGACCCTCGACATATATCTACAGTAATTCACATTAAATAGTTTTATAAATAATAGTCTCTTGTAATCAACAATATTATAGGTAATTTTGAAAATTTGAACTAAGTGACAAAATTAAAGATAATTCTTTTATGATTGATTTTTATAATATACAAAATTTTGATTTAAAATAAATCATAAAATATTAAACATTACATTTAGAAACCCAGACGAAACCCTGACATTTGTTCTTTCTTTTCGAAATATTATATATTTTTAGAAATTTTATTCAAATTTGATAACTCCTTTTTTGTTTACATTTTCCTTCCATTCCCGGCATTTATAAATGGCGCCAAATGTTTATAACCAATGATATCAAGACGTGGGATTTTCTTCTACGTGAGAACCTTCGTGCGCATGCGCGTCACAGCTCGACGGCGACTACTAAGGATTAGATAGTGCGCATGCGTGGGAAAAATCCTACGTCCTGGCATCACTGATCATAACCACAAAATATATATATATATACATTCATTTATTAATACCAAAGGAAACATTTTGATTATTCTGTATATTATAAAAAGTATTTCTTTTATAATACAGTACAAGAAGTATATTTTTTAAATCAATGATTAAAAGATAAAATTTTGTAAATAATAAATCTTATAAATAATCATGCATTTTTAACAAAGTGTCTTGAATGTTAAAATAAGAATGATAAAAGTTGCAATGTTTAAGTAATCCAAGAAGAAAATAATTTGAAATTGTTATCTTGAATTTATTCGATAATTAGGTAAGTAAGTTGAAAAACTTTATTATAAAATATAAAGAAATCTATATAATTATTTTCTATTTTTAGAGGTGAAGAGTTGAATAAAAATCATTCACGATGGAAGTAATCGAATTAGTTTCAGACGAAGAAGTATCCAATAATAAAATGAAAAATCCAAAGATTTCTAATACATGTAATTCTAATTGTATAAACTTTAAATGTAATTCAGGAATTGATATGAAACCTGCACCATCCTTTGCATGTGCATATTATGGTGTCAATACAGAAAAGAAAACCAAACCTAAACTAATATGCAAACAATGTTTTGATATAGCTTTGGAACATCAGAAAGTATGTAAAAGATATTTTTACAAAATTTATAATATCTATATTATATCATCTTGTTTTCTACTCAAAACTAAATAGACGTTCTTGTTATTTTTTGACAGAAATTAGTAGCAGCATTAATGGAACAAAAATCTTTATTGAAATGCGATTTTCCAGATCTAACGGTCGAAGTAGAAATTTCCGACAGTGATGAATCCGACGACGAGAAGAAAAAAGAAACAGATGACAATGGTTAAATTATGTTTTAGTTAAAGCTGCATTTAATAAACTGCATTTTACTATTTTAATTATTATTTTAATATTTTTTATAATATTTTTATTCTCAGATACTTATGTACCAACGGAAGTACTTTTGGATTTAGAAGAAAAGTTGGATATAACACTGCAATCACTTTTTAAACAATACAATGTGGATTATCAAATAGGGGAAGCAAAAAATCTATTGACACAACAGTGGAAAGAAATTGATGGTATTTAAACACGTTAGATAATATTTTCAGTAAAGATTTAAAAGACTTTTTTTTTTATTATTTGAATATATTGAATTTTATTTATAGAAAAAAATAAACTTATTGATGATGAGATCAAAGCCTTAACTACTCAATTGGATACATTAAGAAATAGTTTATACGAAGACTTCAGGCCACAAATTCGAATGATTCAGGAACTTCAAATAGGTATGGATTATGAAGAAAATATGACTTATCCACTTGTAGCGACTAAAAAAGTCACTCAAGTACGTAATTCGCCTTCCAAATTGCAACAAGAGACTCAACCAGATATATTACCCATTGAAAGAGATACTAAACAAATAGTTACTTTGAATTTACCTCCTACTGGTCCTCTTGTTAGACCACAACCAGAACCTGACACCATAATCTATGTCATGAAACATCCTCTCATGAGATGGATTAAAGGAAAGGTAACGCAGAAAAGAAATACGAATGCTAAAGCAATATCACGTAATACGTTTAATTTCTCTTTCTAGGTAATAAATGTAGTAACCAAAAATCCATTACTGTGTCGAGTAAGATTATTCCAAAAAAAGTATAGTTCGACTATCAAGTCGGTCTCTGGCAAACAAATTGCTGTAGCAGTACCCAGTAAAGTTTTAATTCCTGTCGGTACAAGAGTTGTTGCTGTCTTTCATGATGTAGAACATTTTGAAAAATATCGAGAAAAAAACGAATCTAGCAATTTTTATAGCGGTGTCATTGCAGAACCTCCTAAATCTACAAATAAGTACAGATATTTGGTGTTTTTTGACGATGGATATGTACAATACGTTACGCACAAAGATATCTTGATAGTATCTGAAAGTTCTCCTAGAGTTTGGGAAGATGTAGCCAGTGAGTCGCGTGATTTTGTAAAAAAATATATGGAAACGTATCCGGAAAGACCGATGGTAAAATTACAAAATGGTCAGATAGTAAAAACCGAATGGAATGGTAAATGGTGGGTCGCAAGGGTTAAACAAGTAGATGCGAGTCTTGTGCAAATGCAATTTGATGCAGATCAAAGAACAGAATGGATTTATAGAGGCTCTGCCAGATTAGGACCTTTATATGTTGAACTATTAAAAGCAAATGCAAGGCAGCAGGGTCATCATACTTCTCTCAATGCACCTAGTCGTCATCGTATTCCCGTTATTTCTAATGTAAGCATTTCATATTCATTATAAAAATAATTTTCTTTATTAATGTATGCCTTTATTCTTTCTGTTTCTCTCTTTCTTTTTCTCTATCTATCTATCTTTCTTTATCTCTCTAGAAAAACAATTTACCTTACGTGGAATATACTTCCAATGTAGACATAGATGAGGAAATCAAAAATATCCTTAATGATAAGCCATCGGACACTGAATTTAATGAAAATCGAAGTGTCAATGCACCAAAATCAACAATAGCACCATTGCAGTCTCGTGCTGTAGCTAAAAAAAGTACTAGCAAAAAATCAGTTGTGACAGATGTAATTCCTTGCAATCCTACTTTAGAAATGAAATCTTCTCATAGCATTGTTGTAAGTAATATTAAATGCAATTAACTATGCAACAACAAAATTGCACGAATATAATTGAAATAATAGAAAATATATTTTCTTTTTTGTTTTATAGTACTATCAGACGCAAAATGAAATTCAAACGAAAAAATTCGTTCCTCATAAATGTGGACCGAAATGCATACAAAGTATATCTTTCACACCAGATGATTTGAAAGGTTACTCACCCCTTTCGATTCCTTTACTATGTGGTTGGAATAGACAATTATGTAAATTTCCAAAATGCAAAAAAGTTATATTGTATCAAGCACCATGTGGTGTAAGATTACGAAACATGGAAGAACTTCATTTTTATCTTCGTCAAACTAATAGTCCAATGTCTGTAGATTTATTTGATTTTGATTTTTGGGTCCATTGTTTGGCAGAGTTTGTTTTAGATAAATGCTTTGTTAATATTAAAGTAAGTAAATCAATTTTATTATTAAATGAATATAATTTTAAGTATCTGTTGCTTTACAGGATCTTAGTTATGGAATAGAAAATGTGCCAATACCTTGTGTGAATGAATTAGATCATGCTTTACCCGATACTATTAGATATAGTACTCAAAGAGAACCTACAGAAGGAGTAAATTTAAATTTAGATCCAAATTTTCTTTGTAGTTGTGATTGCGAAGATGATTGTCAGGTAATAAATGTATACTTGCTTGTATAAAAACATATCATTTATGTATCATTTAATTTAAATATATTTTCTTAATTTAAAATTTGATTATACAGGATAAAACAAAATGTCAATGTTGGCAATTGACAATACAGGGAGCAACTTTAGGGGGAAGAGTTCCAAATACTGCTGTTGGTTACGTTTATAAACGTTTACCAGAACCAGTGACAACTGGTATTTACGAATGTAATTCTGGATGTAAGTGTGCCGTAAAAACTTGTTTAAATAGAGTTGTACAACATCCACTTAAATTAAAATTACAAGTTTTCAAAACGGCACCTCGAGGTTGGGGTATAAGATGTCTTACTGACATTCCGTTAGGTTCTTTTATATGTATTTATGCTGGACGTTTATTAACTGAACAGGTATAAAACTAAATGAGAGAAATATAATATGTGTAATTGTATTATATATAAATAAATATAATAATATATATTTCCATGGGGGGGGGGCTGCATAGGGTGCAAATGAAGGTGGAAAAAACTATGGAGATGAATATCTTGCAGAGTTAGATTATGTTGAAGTTGTGGAAGGGATGAAAGAAGGTTACGAAAGTGATGTTTTTGATCCAGAAATACCTTTAACTCCTGTGAAAGAAAAGAAAAAAGAACATGGTGCAAGTGACGAAGATTATAACGCTAAAAATACTACAAATGATTCTGATGAAGATTTTAACATTAGTAAATACGTCAATTTTTCTGTAGATTCGGACGAATCTTCTATCAGGTAATTTCAAAAGAAAACTATTTTATTATAATTATTTGAAATCTCATGTTTAATTATTACATTTTAGAAAACGCCTTAGAAAACGTAAAAGAGGTGAATCTAATTTAGATGGTTCAGAGGAAAACAGCGAAGATGGAAGTATTACAAAAAGTTTAGAAAATCTTATTCCTAAATCATCTTCACTTGAAAATCGTACAATGGATCACGAAACGGTGACGATAAGCGACGAAGAAGAAAATCGAAGTAGTAGACGTGTACCAAGTAGATTTGATCCATCGATAGAACCTTTACAATTAGATAGACCAAAGTTTAAATCTGTAAGAGATTTTTATGGAGAGGATGAAGCTGTTTACATCATGGATGCCAAAACAACAGGAAATATAGGCCGTTACTTAAATGTACAAATTATTAAATTATTATAAATGTTCTTTAAATATTCGTTGTGTCAGAAATTAAACGTCACATTATTTTTTGTAGCATTCCTGTGATCCAAACGTTTTCGTTCAAAACGTATTTGTAGATACGCATGATGTACGTTTCCCATGGGTGGCATTTTTTGCTTTGAATTATATTCGAGCAGGCCAAGAATTAACATGGAATTATAGTTATGACGTAGGTAGTATACCGGGTAAAGTAATTATTTGTAAATGCGGTGCATCAAATTGCAGAGGCCGACTACTTTAAGGTATGTAATCATTATTATATATTATCAATCATTTTTTTTAAATAGAAATTAAAACATTTTCTTTTTTAATAGTATACAATTGCAGAGAGAATACTAGGAAAAAAGAATATACGTTATTACAAGTACAAATGAAATAATGATAAGAATTTAAAGAGAATTATTCATGTTTTCAAATAATAATAATAAAAACAGTGATATAAATTTGTGTTTACACGTTACATGTACAGTGTGAAAAAAATAATGTAATGGGAATAAGGAGATAACTTGATAAATATAGATAGTATAGATAGTATAGATCTTATGTATCACAAGGAAACATGAAAATTATTTATACAAATTCTAAAAGGAAAAGATAAACACGATTGTATTATCAATGTATACATGTATTCATTTTGCAAACATCCAAATGTGACATAACATTAAAACAGAACAAAAATATACAAAACACATTGTTATATATTGCATAAATTCATTGATTATATATTACAGTCTTTTCCTCTTTAGCCTGTTTCACTAAGCAGATATCTGCGTGTGTGTTATTATATTTTGCTAACTTTGCTATTAAACAACCTGTTCAATTTTGTACCACCTACAGTAAAAGGGATGCATGTGGATGAATGCCATACCAGTAAAGTTAGCATTAAATCTCATAGAATAGGCCAGTTGAATGCGCAGCACTCTAATAAACTTTTAGCCATGTATATGAAGTTGACGAAGTCAACAAAATTCATAACAATGCTCTAATGACTTATGACTTTTGATTATTGTACATTTTTTATATATCTTCCAAGACAATATATATATATACATATATATGTCTATATATGAGATATGATCTTCACTAACACATTTGCAATATTTTAATATATAATTAATGTTTAAATCCGTATTGAAAGAGTAAATTAATCACGAAATAATTCGAATAATATATATAATTCACATATTTTCATTTTTTAATAATACTTAATATTTAATTTTTTGTAACTAAAATCTTTTTGTTTTATTTTACTAAAAAAATTATAAATATAATATTAAAACAGCTCATTTAAAAAGAAATTATGTGATAGGAATGATCGATATTAACGAACAAATAATAAATAGATTAAAATGAATTCATTTTATAGAATGTATCAAAATATTCTCTACAGTATACTTGGTTAAATAAGAAAAAAATAAACTTAATTAAAATGCATAATAAGACATAAAAAGGTATTACTACACAATATAAATTTAGAACATTTACTTACTAATATATAACTGAAAATTTACTTAAAAAAAAAAAATAATTTTCTGATTATGTACCTATATCTTCCGTGTGCGATATATCATTATAAAACTGTGACCCCCATATTTCTGACAGCTTTCATTTAAAATAGATAAATATGATAGTTAAAAAGTATGCACGAAATTAAAAACAAAGCAATCGCGGATATTATATTTAAGAACATTTTAACATACTAGAATAAAAAAAGTTATCGCCTTATATACGTTTGGATTTCTGCTAGTGCATTCTGAGAAGTTGTTTAATTTCTTCTTTTTCGGCAGCATTCAAATAACTTGTCCCGTCAGGAGTTAATCCATCCGGTCTAGCACCTTTTTCTAATAATAGCTTAACGCAGTGCGTATGACCTTCCCAAATTGCAGCGAGTAATGTTGTTATCCCATGTTTATCTGTAGCCTAAACAAATGAACAGTAAACAAGACATTTATTTAATCGTTTGTAAACATTTCATTTGTATCTATGCAGTATACCACTGCGTTATAATAATTAAGAAAATTAAAGATATAACTTACATTAGCATCCGCACCCTTTTCCAAAAGATATCTTACTACATCGTATTGTCCATAATCTGCAGCATAATGCAATGGTGTTCTTCCATCGATCATTTGATTTACATCGATATTCTGTTGAATAAATATATATATATATGCATATATAGAAAGAGTGAGACAAGAAAGATATTAAATATTAATTTGAAATAAAGATATTTGTGATTAAATATTTTATAATAAAATTATGTCATTTTATTTTGTAATATATGAAAAAGATAATATGCAAGATATATATATATATATATATATATATATATATATRTATGTATATATTAAAAAAGGAATATATGCTAAAAAGAATTGATATAACATTATTACCGAGATATCGCGTTATCATAAAAGATAATTACAAAGAAAAACTGCTGCAGCTGTTATTTAAGCGATTACTTTTATTAGTACTGCAAAGTACTGTTGATATATATTCGAACTTGGTTTACTCAAATAAAGCAGTCAAGACAAGATAAAAATAATTGTTCGTAATAATATTTAACGTTTGGTAACATTATAATTTGTAAAAATGATTCTACAAATCTATAAAAGAATATTGTCATATTTGCCTTATTCTCAACGATATCCCGAACTTGCTCGAGATCACCATTTTTTATTCCCCAAACGAGTTCGCTCATTTTTTAAATATTTTTTTTCCTTAATATATGTTCAAACAAACTCTCGTTAAACAACGAAGACGTATCTAATCTAACCGTTTTAATCGCTAATGTCGCAATTACGTGACAGATCTCACATCCATCAGATTTTGGTTAAAAAACCGCAAGAATTAATAGACCGAACGCGATGTCAAGATGTTAAAAAAAATTGTATAGGCTAAGCGTATAAAAAGTGATACCAGGTGGCGTTGATGGTCTAGTGACGTTCTGCCGATACGTCAAATGCACTTTCGGCGGAATTTTCAAATGATAAATTTGAAGGGTATTATTAACGCCATAATATTACAAACAAACATTCGATTTTTCTAATTCGATATCTCGTAATTGAAAAAAATTCGATAATAAAGATTTCTAAATAAATAATAATGGTTTATCAATTATATATGCAATGTAATTACTATCGTTAACATAAAGTTATTTGGTAGCATGGAAAATAGTTTTAAAAATCGTCTACCAGATGGCGCTCAGATAGATGGGGAACATGGGCGCACCTATTAAATGAACGAGGCGTTATCCCAAAGCCCTGTTACTACTTATTTTCCTACATTTTCTACGAGTTTGGCTCCCCTGGCCGTAGTTCACAACAGTAGTGGTGCCGGTTGTATTATAGGTTAAAATTTTGTGTGATTTTAGTCTGACTTTAAGTTTAAATTAGAATTGTGAAAATGGACAATCGGATCACGATATGTGACCCAGACGAGGAAGAAATAGACAATGAAATATTTCGAGACATCGAACCAGTCAAGTGGATTAACGATGATCCTAATTATGACTTGGATGAAATCAACATGTTTTTCCATAGGGTGGATTCAGATCAGATCATATATGAGGAAAAAAAGAAAAAATGTAAATTTATCGGTAAATATGTTATGGGGGATGTACTTGGTGAAGGTAGTTATGGTAAGGTGAAAGAAGTACTGGATTCAGAAACTCTGTGTCGAAGAGCTGTTAAGATTCTAAAAAAGAAAAAACATCTTAAACTCCCTAATGGAGAAATTCAACGGTATGCTATTTTAGCATGTAATAATATGTATATGAATATATGTGTATAAACTTTGTGTGCTGACAACAATTTATACATATCTATTTGTTTATCTTCTGATATTTCACGATTAAAACTTGTCACTAGTTCTATCAAATAATTTTCATTTTTTTTTTTTTCAAGAATTCTTATTTGCACGTATTACCTTGTTTTATGTTTTAGTTATTATTATTACTTTCATAGATCGTGGAATTTCTCATCTTTTGTAAATTACTTCTATCATATTTCATTATTACAAACTTTATTATAAATATGATTATGTTAATAAGACATATATATATATATATATATATATATATATATATATATATTGATAACTATATAGAAAAATACCACTAACCAGTAACTAACTATTTATATATTATTAGTTAAATTAAGTTAAAATGCATGTTACATGACTTAATCATAGAATTGCATTACAAAGTTCATCGTGTCCTAAAGAAAGATTATATTTTCTAAGAAATAACTGAATAAATAGATTTATTTATAGTTCTAAGGCAAACACTGATCCTATACACATATAGGTTAATTTACTTGTATATACATTTTGATTATTTCTGATGTTCATTAACAGGGAAATAAAACTATTAAGAATATTAAAACATAAGAACGTCATTAACCTTGTAGATGTTCTTTATAACGATGAAAAGAGAAAGATGTACCTAATTATGGAATTTTGTGTATGTGGATTACAGGTAAAGTTTAACAAATTTCAAATGAATTTATTGTATATTTGTTATGCATTTTTATCTTTATTAATTTATCGAATATATTAATCTAATATTTCTGAACAAAAATAATTTAAAACTTTTCAATTGAAGATGTCATTTAAAGGAATAAATTATTTTTAAAATGTACATTCTTTTTGTTCAAACACTTTTAGTAAAAAAAAAAAAAAAGAAGAAATGAACTAAAGGTGCCTAATATTAATAATAAACTTAATAAAATAATTATTTAATATTCAAAAAAAGAAGATATATATATAATAGTAATTTGTGTATGTGTGTGTTTTTTTTAATAGTTTATATTGGCTTGCTTTCATAAAAAATATAATTTCTTATATTAAGCAGATATATATTCTATATGTGTACATATATATATATATATATATATATATAATATATATATATATACACACACATAGAGTAATAAGCATAAGAAAGGATTGCATGGAGTTAAAAACAATTAGATTTCTATTTATTAGATTCTTTACAGGACATGTTAGAAAGTACACCTCTGAAGAAACTTCCACTTTGGCAGGCACATGATTATTTTTCTCAATTGTTGGATGGCTTAGAGTACCTTTACAGTAAAGGAATAGTACATAAAGATATTAAACCTGGAAATCTGTTATTGACATTAGATAATACCTTAAAAATTAGTGACTTTGGAGTTGCAGAGGTACGCATTTTAAATTTTAATATATTTGTATAAAATACAAAATATGTTCATTTTTGCTTGTTATATTTTAATCAAATATTTTTCTCATATTCCAAGGCATTAGATATGTTTTCTATAGATGATACATGCAAAATGGGTCAAGGTTCACCAGCTTTTCAACCACCCGAAATTGCAAATGGCTGTGAAACATTTTCAGGATTTAAAGTAGATATATGGAGCAGTGGAGTTACATTGTGAGTTTGACAATGTGTGATTAATTGAAATATTTATGAAATAGTAATATGCAGTCATTTTCATTTTGTATAGATATAATATAACAACAGGTCAGTATCCTTTTGAAGGAGACACCATATATAAATTATATGAAAACATTGGCAAAGGTGAATATACAATACCAGAAGAAGTAAAGGAACCTTTGAGATCTCTTATAGAAGGGATGTTACAAAAAGACGCAAGAAATAGATTTACATTGCAACAAGTTAAAAGACATTCTTGGACTATATGTAGGCATTCTAGAACAGAAGATGAAGTGCCTTTACCTCCCTTAAGGGGAAGTAAATGCCATAGTATGACTGTATTACCGTACCTGATGGAATATCACTATGGAGTTGACGACAATCCTACATATTATACGGAACATCAACTTAATGGTATGCTAAAGATGGCTATCTTTAAAAAGCATGTTATCTTTCTTCAAATATATACAAATTTATATAATACAGATATTTTCTTTTTTGTCATGCTTACATTCTTATCTTTCAATGTATGATTCATTTATTTTTACGTTTTTAAACACTCAAGATAAATGTTTATAAATATACATTGGAACGTATTATTTTTTTTTTTTTTTTTAGAGGAAAGAAGACTTCAAGAAATGGATAGGACTAGCGAAGATCAAAAACCAACTTGTAACAGTCATTGCAACAATAAATCAAATACGCATAGCAAAAGAAGATGGCGCAAACCCATTTCTTGTATTGGCTTTAAAAAATTTCCATCTTGCAAACCTTCGTGATCTGGTTATAATATTGGCACAATACTGTTTTATGGTATTAAATATTTTACTGATAGTTACAAAGTTTCTCTATGGAAGAGATGACTGAGTGTTTGACAGCGCAACACTTTTGAACTAATTCAAAAGCGCATAAATGTAAACATTTGTGATATTAATATTAAATAGTTATATCGAATGGTCCACAATACGCTATTGATTGTGGATTAAATTATTTCTAATTTGTAAGAAGAAAGTATAGTTTGTTTTTGTGTGTCATAATGATGAAATGAAATATTATATGCGTAATAAGATTGCCTTTAAACTACGATACATATTAGAATTTGTTTCTATATTTAATTTTGTAAATTAAGATCATGTCTAACTAAGAGAAGTGATAATAATAGTCAACTCGTATTGTCTCTATTAATTGAGATGTGCTAATTATGGTGTGACGGAGTTTTTAGATTCTTATTTATACTATATATCATTTTTTGAAAAAGTAATACAAATAGTTTATAATTAAGAGGAGGCAAGTCAGTTTTAAATAAAACATTATTGCTCCTCGATTATAATATATATTTACATTAACATGTAAATATAGAATGAAGAAGAAACAAAAAATGTTCAATATTTATAAGAAAAAAAAAAAAGTAAAAGAAAATCTACAATTTTATCTTATATATATCGTTCATATAATTATACTTAAATTATGACGCCAGCATGACTAGGATACGTAGTATTTTTTTAATTGAGATGATTTTTTTCTACTTGTATATTAACTTAGTTGAATATTAATGTAAATAATGGAGTATAGTTATTCGTAATCACAAATGCAATCTTAAGGGAAGTTTGTATCTGCTTGAATCACATACTATATAAATGTACATTATAACGATAATATATTTCATCTTCAATGGTAGAAAGTGATTGTTATGCCAAGTCAAATTTATTCAAAATGAAAAGTTATAAGGCTTTCTAGCGATGGCTACCTTTAACCTGATACAATAGGATGTTAAAAGCAAAGTGAATAATTTTTTATATTTATATATTAGTAAGTTTACAAGAGTTTATTATTATATTATGTATAACTAACATAATTCAACTCAAGATAAATGCAGATACTGTTTCTCCTTAAAGAATTTTATAGTTATAATTGAATAAGTATTAAACATGATTTAAAGTGTATATGATGTATATATAAAGAGTATCTATAAACTTGTGTCTCGGTCATATACAGTACCAATTATACATGGAATACATTATATAAATTGAAAGCATAAATGCATTACCTATAAAAAGAGATAGTTGAAAACTTTTGAGCCTCGATAAAATGAAATTTATATTTATTTATTTATTTTTTATTATATTAATAAAAGTGAGTTTAATTGAAATAACAAAATTGTTTCTATTAGGTTCAAAACTTGTCAATCCATCCACGTATATACTTGTCTTTAAATATATATATATATTAGTTTCATCTATTTCATTAAATATCATATTCAAAATCAGTATATAATTATATTTAAATATATTGGTATATACATGCTGGGACATAAATTTAGAGATACTTTTTGTTGGTGATGTGTGTTGTGTAAATGGTTGATTTAATAACAAAACGAATAATTCTCTTTTTTTTTTTCTTTTTTCCCATTAACATTCTAGATTAATATTTGAATATAATCGAAATAATTATTAAGAGAAGAAGAAAGAAAAGGAAAGAATAAAAAACAAAACGAAAGATTAGAATTCTGTTAAAAAAAGATAACAAAATTTATATATTACATATTCTGTGAGATAAAGACAAAGAAAGAAAAATAATAATCATTATCTATAAAAAAAAAAAAAAAAAAAAAAAAAACAAATTTGTTTTGACCCAAAATCTTTATTATTTAACGAATTGAAGACACGTTAAGTAATTTGATGTATAATTTGTATTACAAAATGAACGCAATTGATTTTAATTAAAATTAATTAATATGTTATATATATATAATTAGAATATAAGATAGAAACATTAAAGTTTTGTAATTTATATCTTCTATTAAGAAATTCAGATGCCTAAATGTAACATTAAATAAAAGTGGAATTATGCAGTGTAGATGAAAATAATTTTGATTATAGATACGATATAAAAATTGTAAATGAGAGATGAACTATTCTTTTTATTTTATTTTGATTTAGCAATTGTTGTTCACGTTTGCAAATGGTAATGGATGCAAGATTTAATAAGCATATTAAATGTTTATAATGATAACAACTTTTCATCCTTGCATATCATAGGAAAATAATAATCAATTCTATAATAAATATAATATACTTGTACAATTAAATATGTATGTATATGTATGTATAATTAAAAAAAAAATTATTTTCTTTTAATTGAAATATTATCGAGATAATAAAATTTTACGTACGTGTTAAAAAGCATATGATAGATATATATATATACATATATATAAAATAATAGCAGAAACAGCCATATCTACACTGCACAATTCTTTTTGCGATATATCATCGAAATATTAATTAATTAAGTGCGTTTATGATATTTTAAATAATATCACATATCAATTATATATTCATTCATGCGTAAAATTGCTTACCGATAGTGCAAATGTTCAAAATAGCATAACGGCATAATAGTTATGATGCCAATTGGATTATATTATCTAAAATGATGCTTGTATTTGTTATTATATATATTTGTCAGATAATTTTGAATTATGCACAAAATGTTGTAAAGATAAAAATGTATTTTTTCTTCAATATTGGAATACGATTATTATAAGATAAGACACAATCTGTTTCTGTATTATATCATGTTTTATCGACGCTGCGTGTATTATAACAATACTGTTGTACATATGTATGTATAATAAGTTTGTATTTTACAATTAGTTATCACAAATTAAGAAAACAAATGGCAAATACATTATATTAGGAAACTTTATTCTTGTACAAAATCTTTTACCAAGTTTTGTACATGGTAATGGAAGATATTGTTCATCGACTGCCAAGAAAAATTTATGTATTTGTATAAATTAATATCTTCTTTGTTAGARTTTCCTGTGAATTATTATGCGAATAGAATGCAACTGTAGTGACAAAAAAATAATTTAGACAATAATATGTTTAGAGGTAAAAAAAATAATCTTGTTTAAAGGAGAAGCAGATATTATAATACTKTTAAGATACATTTATTTTTAACATATAAAAAATGATTTATGTTGCATTAATTTTTAATCATTTGAAAAAAATACAAGGAAACATCAGTA